TGAAAATTGTTTTGAAAAATTTACAAACCAAACAAATTTTTTAGAAATTTTTTCCCAAAATCACTCTACAAATCCAAACCAAACATACCCATTGTTTTTTGAGGGAAAACATCTTTTCTTTTGTGTGTCCTCTTAAACGATTTTCCTTCTTCCTTTTATAGTGTGGATACCTGGTATCATGATTGTTGGATGGTTGTACCGATCTAATGGTATTTTGTGCGTGCAGGCACTGGTCGAGCAAGTGGACAAGTGATCTTGCTCTACCATTGTCGGAGTTACTGTATTATAGATGGTCCAGATTTAGTTTGGGTTTGGGTACTCATTCTTGATCTTTGGATTTATCTTATCAGATGCTCGGGTTGTCAGAGTTGGTTGATTTTGTATTCTTTCTTCTGTTGGTTTTGATCTCTACCGTTGATTTCTATCTTATCCAAGGGTTTTCTTTCATGTTTAAGGATTTCTTTTCTGGAAGCAATCATGTCTAAATCTCCTATCACGTGACCTTGTTTGCTTTATAACTGTACCTTCTAAGGGCTTGAGCCTAGACTTTTCCTGGTTGGGAGTTGGCCGACCAGTTAGCTTCTTTTGGACAAGACGACGTTGTCTTCCGATGTTAACCAACTTCCAGTGGTTTCCAAGGCACATGAAACTTTTTTTTCTTTTGTTTATTTTACTTTGAGTGTATTATGAGGTTTTTATTTTGTTGTAATATTTTCCTCGCCTCCCTCAAATTTGGTTTGTAATTATTCTTTCAAGTATTGTAATAATTCCCCGCCCCGCTTATTTTTATCTCGTTCTTTTACTTGCTTTCTTTATTTGTGAATATGTATCATATTTTATCTTTCATTATATCCATGCTTTGCATCCATGTTTCATGCATCTTGATTTGGCTAATTTTGCATTTGTGAATTTAATCAATTCCTATGTGATTATGTATGCTACCTCATGTTCTTGAGATGATTCATATGTCGTATCTTAGAAGCTGAATCTTTAGTTGCATCTCATGAGTGAATTGCATTAGGATTTTGTATATAAGATCATGCATGTTTTACTAACTTTGTTTTGTAGCTTGTTCGCGGGACGTCAAACATGTAAGTTTTTATGCTTTAGCATCCCGTTTGTATGTGTTTTTCTTACTATGTTTAACATTCTACCATGAGGCTATTTGCTTATGTGATATAACTCTATGAATGCCAGTGGATGGAGGTTGTGTCGCTTAATTTGGAATGATGTTGGTTTTCATGTTTGTAAACTCAATTTATTTGGGTTGTACATTTTCAAAACTCTTTCAAAACTACATGAAATCAAGTTGTTCCAAAGTGGGTGACATAGTCTATACTTGTATGCTTCACATAGTAATTTTTTTAGGATTTATTAAATAATCGGAATATGAACATATAAAGTAAATAAAATTTATATCATGGTTTAGTAAATGCCGATCTTTGATCGGGTGAGCGGGGGTACTCAATTAATGTCCTTCCCCTCTCATACCTAAGATTCCGAACCGAGACAACTTCGGTTATGACGAATAATGGCCTTGGCACGAGTCATGAGTTTCCTAATTTCCCAAAATATTAGGCGACGACTCTGAGATCTGATGACACAATCCATTTTTTGGCAAAATATATTTTTTGCAATAAAATGAATTTTCAATAAAAGTTGCCAAATCTGGACTCTCATCTATGTTTCACATTGCACTAGTGAGACTAGATCAAAGAGACAGAGGGTCTGAACTGTTTAACGCGTATGGGTACCTTCCGGGCATGTTACAGTTGGTTTTCAGGACCTAGTGGAATTATCGGCTCGGAGTTAGCGGGGGTAGCGTTGGAATCGTGGCTAAACTTTTCACTAGCCATATTCTCGATCGGCAAATTTTGGGAGTGTGTTAGTATTTCGTCCAGAGCAGGATGGATACTCATCTTTTCTCGAATTTTCCACAGACGATGCCAATTGTGGAAGGGGAAAATATTTTCTTTACTGGGAACACGAGATGAGCCGTTCCTTCTCTTACTCTGTGATCTTCCTGGGAAAGCGAGATAAGACAAATACCAAAACGTCACTGATCTCCCTCGACCAAGGTTGGTCGGGCGGACCCTCCGACGATCAAATTAGAACCTTGATTAAACATGTTGTTTTTCTTTTGAAGAGAAGTATCTATTTCTTTCTTTTTTGCCTGCGTTTGAATGGTTTTCCTTCCTCATTTTATAGTGTGGATACCTGGTATCGTGACCGTTGGATTATGGTACCGATCCAATGGTGTTTTATGTATGCATAGACTAGTCGAGCAAGTAGGAAGTGATTTTTACATGCCTTTGTCGGCTGCCCAGTGTTATAGATGGCCTAGATTTAGTTCTGGTTTTGCGCACTCATTCCTGATCGTTAGATTGATCTTATCAGATGCCCAGATTGTCAGAGTTGGTCGATTTTGTATCATTTCTTTTGTTTTGATCTTTATCATTGATTTCTATCGCATCAAAGGGTTTTCTCTCATGTTTAAGGATCTCTTTTCTAAAAGCGATTCTGTCTAAATCTCCTATCACGTGACCTTGTTTGCTTTATAACTGTACCTTCTAAGGGCTTGAGCCTAGACTTTTCCTGGTTGGGTAAAAATACTTTGAGGTCGCGTGTTAACTTGCTTGGGCCTGGGACTTAATTTTTTACCCTCCACAGTTAGTGTAAATAAAATTAAAGTAGGATCCATTATTATTATATTTAACTAATATTTAATTATTATCATTAATATATCTAATTAATATTCAAAATATGATAAAAAAAGATAATATTAATAGGGACATTTACATACGAGTTTTAATTTATACGAGTTTTAATTTATGAAATTATATTATATTGAGTCCTAATTAAAATTTTTAAACCTTTAAGTTGCATTAAATTTTTAATAGTCGGAATTGCCCTTCAAATTATGATTGTTCATTATTTATGATTATCTATAAATAAACATAATGATTTAATATTTATTTTGATTTTCAAAAAATTTTAAAATATCAACTTTTAAATTGAAAAAACTAAAAAAAATTATGTGAAAAAACTAATGTTTTTAAAAAAAAAATAAAAAAACTGAATTATTTTTTGTACAAAATTAAAAAATTTGTGTCTATAATGAAATATGATAATGAAACATTGATGTGCAAAACTAAAAAAAAAAAAACTTTAAAAATGAAAAAATTGATAATATTCTTAGTTTTATTTGATAATTGAATCAAACTAATAAGTAAAAATACAATATTTAATCTCATTTTTTTTCATTAGTTAGTGAAACAAAATATTACTATACAAAATTGATAATATATTTAATTTTTAAAATTAAAAAAAAAAATAATATTCTTAATTTTATTAAATAAGATTTATTGACCTAAAAAATCTTAAATAAGACCTAAATTTTTAAATAAATAAGACCTAAACTTTTAAATAATTAACTCATATGTCACATTTATTCGAAAATTGAACAGCTCATCTGTAACCTCCATCTGTGGATTACCGGGGGCCACAATCCCCTTCTCTCTCTTCCTTCGTCACCAAGAAAACCAACCTATCTCTCTCCTCTATTTCCCTCTCTCTCTCTCTCCTATCTCTCCACACTTTCTCTCTCTACGTCACCCCAATTCACCAGCGATGCAAGAAGCAGAGCTTCACGATTTGTCCGACGACTCCGATTACGCCGCCTCTCAACAGCAAGTAAGCAATCCTCCAATCACTCCTTATCTTCAATCTCAATCACGCCATTCTCTATATTACGCACTACTAATTCATATATGTCAATCTCGAATTTGTGTTCTGAATTAAGTTGAGTTCGTTTGAAATTGGGGTCGATTGTTTTTGAGCATCGATGTGGAATTCGCGACTTCAATCTAGGTTTTTTATTGGGGTTTGTTTTTAGGGTTCGGCGAGCTTGACTCGGAGTGATAGTAAACGGAGCTCCGCGAGTGAGCCCGATGGTGCGGAAATCGTTTACTTGAAAGATAATGTGACAATTCATCCAACTCAGTATGCATCGGAGAGGATTAGCGGTCGATTGAAGTTGATTAAGCAAGGCTCGTCTTTCTTTATGGTACTAATCTTTTGTTTCTTATGAGAAGCGTAGGTATAAACACTTATATACTGTTGTGTTTATTGAACTGATTGTTTGTGATGTGGTAGACTTGGATTCCCTATAAAGGGCAAAGCTCAAATGCAAGGTTGTCTGAGAGAGGTTAGACTAGATTTCTAATTTTATGCATATACAGATTTATGGGTTTTCATGGGTTTGCTGAATTTGTTGCTGTGTTTGGTATCATGCAGATAGGAATCTCTATACGATCAGGGCAGCGCCGTTTACAGAGATCCGGTCAATTCGTCGGCACACTCCAACGCTTGGGTGGCAGTACGTAATTGTTGTTTTGTCATCAGGTAAGGCAGTGCATACTATTCTCTTCACATATTAGCATTTATTTTTTGGTTTAGCATTCTCTAAAATGTATGACTCATTGGTCTAGGACTGTGTTTTTTCTGTCTAGTAGGCCATTCCAATTTTCAATTTTATTGCCATTGGTTTTCCAAGGTTTTCAAACAAAGGCATTGATTAGAAGATGTGAACGGGTAAATTAGTTTTAGTTTAATAGTACATATTTATTAGATTCCAGTGTGGTTCTTACTTTAAAGATAGTCACTTTCCTTGCTGGTTAATCAAGGCATAGGCTTCAAGTAATCATATATACCTGTGCATTTGTCGAAATATCAGTGTTTAAGGTGGTTAGAAGTTTCTTTACTTGAGTTATGGATAGTATGATTGGCTAGGTGGAACTTTGAAAAAAATGGATTGTGTAGCCATCGTACTGAGTTTATTTCATGTTCACCACTCCCTACTTTTTTGGTGCATAAGTTGGAGATTTTTTTTTTTTTTGGGTGTAACATTGGTGAAGATTCTAAATACGCTATGTGGGTTGAAATTTATTGTGCAAACCAATTGGAGGTCAGTATTTCTTATGTTGAGAGTTTGTTGGAAGGGATTAGAAAGGATGGGAGCCTGTTTTACAGTCATATACATACTCTATATGAGGTGGGAGATGTCAAAGGGAGAGTTTTTGGAATGTACTTGGTGTGGGACCTCTAGTGATGTTTAGAATGTCTCATGTCATTTCTTTATGTCAGTAGCTTTAGGAGAATTGAGTTCTGTCCTTTTTTGTATTTTTCTTTCATGATCTTGTCAATTGACCTTGCTTCGGGTCTTTGTCATTTTTGTAAAGCTATGGTTATAATTTTTGCATCATATTTGTTTTAGTATGATCTACCGTTGTTGATTGTGTGATCCTTTGCACTTGTTCTAATGTCAGATGGTTTCTCCTAATGCTAATTGCCTGTATATGGTTGAAGCATCTATGGCACATAGATCATCAGATGAATCCTTAGTCTATGCTATATGATTTTTTTTCACTAGCACTTTATTTACCTTCAATGGCATCTGTTACAGCTGAAAATATTTTCAGGATTGGCCTTTCCTCCCCTTTACTTCTACAATGGAGGAGTTAGAGAGTTCCTTGCTACAATAAAGCAACATGTTTTTATTGTGAGGTAGGTTGTTTTTAATTTCAGTTGTTCTTTTCAACTTGAAATCCTTTGATTGTGAGTAATGAGCATAGTTGGAGATAGAATAAATTTGTTTTTTGGACTAGAATATTTTTTTTTATTATTGCAATACGAATGTCTAATTCCCTAGTTTGTTTTTCTTAGTCTATTTTAATTTAATATGATTGATTTTTGTTCATTTAAACCACATAAAATTGTTATTAAGGCAACAAACATAAAATTGCCCATTCAATACAAAGTTGTGCTTGAAAACTGGATCACGTAGTATTAGATTCGGGTTGGGATTCCACAGTCCTATAAGATCCAACTATCAAGATCGAAAGATCCTAGTTAGAAAGGAGTTTTCTACACAATCCGGATTGATTTTGCTTAAATGGGTCATAAGATGATAGGATTGTAAGATCCAGATCACGAAACCATGATTTAACTTATAAAAAATCAGTCATTTTACTTGTCCCATGAAAAGCACTAATCATAGGTGCATAAAGGTTATTACTGAAAAAATTGTTAAGCACTTAATAACTAAAAATTTCTTCCATAAAATAATGATTCAGCATACTCCTTTTCATGGGTATTTTTGATCTCTTCACAAACTTTAATTACTGTGGTATTCAAAATTATTATTTATTGGTTCTTGGTGTTATTGCTTGATGGCTAATGGCACTAAGATTGACGGATATACAGAGAGTCTGATTTCTTGTGTGTGTATATATATATATATATATATTTAGTAGCCCGATTTGTTTGGAATTATATGGAAAAGACATGTCATAATTCATTAATGTTTGTAAGAGATGAGGTATCTGGTTGTATATTTGCACATTGGTGTAAGTTAATGTACATGGGTTCATCATCATCTATGTTACATGGACTTGGGTACAAGTACCAGGTGCTGGTGCTTGTCCAAGTATCAAATCTTCCTAAACCTAAATTTTAGAATATTGGTATATGCATCCAGAAGAGGGGTATTGGTATGGGGGCACATCTTAAACACTTATTGCGTATTGTATAATATTTTTAGATAAGATGTAAATTATTTAGAGAAGTACTCTAAATTAAATAGTATTTAGGAAAATATGAAAAAATGACCCATTTGTGTGAGAAGATTGTAATGTTTATTTACTATCAAATGTGAGCGTTTTCTTTGTCAAACATCATATAAAATCAGAGGATTCAAGTGTCTAAATTGGTTGTGGGTATGGGTATCGGACACAAATGACGCACCCTTAATCTAAGAATGGGTACACTAGGGGAAGTAGAAGAGTCCATGTAACACAGATAATCATTGCAAACAACTGGTTATATGGACTTTCCAGAAGATTTTGTTAAATATTAGGCAATTGAAACTTTATCTACCCTGTTAAAGTTGGTTTCTCAAAGAATTATCTATAATTAGAGATTAGTAAGTTGTTAGTTGTTAATTATTGGAGGGTTTGTTGAATCATGTACCCATAAAATATGATATGGTGCATAATTTGGATTCAAATAAAAAAAATCAATCTTCACCGAGAGGTTGTCCCGGGAGCAAATATATAATGGAGCTTTAATTTTTGTTTATTATAGGTCATCAGATGTAATTTTGCCTATCACTATAGAAAAAAAGGGAAAACTACAAATCAGTGCATGTGATAAAAATAATTTGCAATATATGGTAGTGCAACTCTTTTTGTGTAAAAAACACAGCAAATGTTGCATCCCAAGAAGATTCTCACCATTTTAGCAAGTATTTGCCACACTTCCCACTGAATTGTAATCCCCCCTAGAAAAAATGGTGGAAATAAGGAAAAGCAAAGGAAAATGAGAAAAGTTCTTTAGAATCTGTTGAGATCCCATGCATGTTGTTTAACATAAATATGGCATTAGCATTACATATTATTGTTACCATTTTTGTTCTCACATTATTATTCTTGTAATTATTTTCAGTTAAGGAGTTTAATGCGCACTTATTTATCAACATGATGAAGAAAAATCTGACTCTACTCTTAACATAATCGCCATGATGGAGGAAGCAGACAGAGAAGCGGAAACTGAATATCCACAGATCGCAAAGATAAAGGTTGTCTTCTTCTTCGGCGAGACTGGCCTGGATTTCTTCCCACTAGCGTATGCACAAATCTGCTCCGTTGATCGTGGGTCTTTAGCAGCTAGTTTCCACTTGCAAATTCCTCCCCACCCTTCCATGCATCCATCTGTTTCAAGAATAATGGAGCGATACGGAAACGTATGTCACGATTCAAGTCACCAATGATACGTATCGAGTATGGTACGATTTTGACAGCACTAGGTTTGGCTCATTGCTGATACCACTGCTGTGGTTTGAAAGATGAGACTTGCCTTGCTCGTCAGAGTTAGTAACAGCGTTAATGTAGAAAACGACATTACCTTTTCACCCCTATTTGTCAAAAGCTAATTTTTGTTGGAAAATTAAAATTTTAATATTAGTCAAAATACCCTTTTGTCCAACCCCTCTTCTCTATCTACTCTTTTTTTTTGAGAAGCAACAAAAGATATTTTACTCTTCTCTATCTACTTATTTCTGTTGCAAGTTCTCTCTCTCTCTCGCTTGTTCTTTCCAAACCAGAACCACATCTTCTTAACTGCCTGTGTGGTGACCACCTTACCTTGGATTCCACCATCTAAATCTCCATTGTGATCCTCATGGATCGACATTCTCTGCAAAATGAAGTGTCATTGAAGGTTTTGACTGAAAATCCCATGGTTGTTGCTTATTAGTAGCTTTGTCAGTAACCACAATCCAAAGTCAAAACATACTCTGGTTTCCGCTCTCTCTCCCCCTCCCTCTCTCCCTCCTTTGAAACCCCAAACACCACCACCATCCTTCATAATTATTTCCATTGCCATCATTGTCCTGAAACCCTCCTCTGCCATCATTCAACACTGTGCTAAGGTACCGGCACAGCAGTTCCACCATGATACCGAATTTATATTGACAAATCCCATTTTCATTACCATCATCATTAATCTGGTCGCGACCATGTCATCATTACGCGCTTATTTCACTAGTAGCACAAACTGCTGCCAGTAGAGCATGAATGCTGTTCTGATTATCCCTTAGGTCACTTATAATTACTCTCGTCAGTTTTGTTTTTCTCTTCATCCTCAAGTATGCCCTCGTTCACTGCCAAAGTAAGGTTTTTTTTTTTTTCCTCCCCCCTGAGGTATGAGTGAACTAATATTTCATAACATGAAAGCCATATTGACCCCAAGTTCTTAGACAGTAAATTCATGTCAAACTAAATAAATCATATTAGTTGACAACGAAAGGATAAGATATGAGTTATGAACGTAATTACAAATTTTACTTCAATGCTGTAGAGACTGGCCTTACTTTCTGTTATAAAATTTTGGTTTGCTGTAGCATGTTTATAAATGGTTTGACTAACCAAACACTAAATCAGATTTGTAATTACCAGATGGTCATTCCTGTCACATGGTCAGAGCTTTTATGTTCCTTCCAAAATTTCTTGCTTCTGTTAAAAGTTACAAAAACAGAGTATTTGTTTTCTTTTTGGCATGTATTCTACATTGATTTTTGGTTTATGGAAATAGGAGGCCAAGTGAAGTTTACACCAACAATTATCTAATTTTTTTTTTTTTAACTGCTGCAACACTTCACAATAAATACATTTACCCTGATATTTCATGTCTGCCCTATTTCTATTTGAAATATGGTTTTTTTGTCTTCTTCTTTCCCTTTTGTTTTTGTTTTATTTTCTTGGACAGAGAACTCTGTCCTCTTTGGAGTTGCCTAGGGCTGTTGTTGCTAACGGGCTATCCTCATCAGTCTCAGTTGATGAGTGCCCCTCAATTGATAATTCAGAGAGGACTGATGGAGGTGCCTTTGATGGAACTGCCAGTCATATACAAAACAATGGGAGGCGGAGGCAAAAGGTTCAGGATCCTGCTCGAGATCTTTCAATTCAAGTATTGGAGAAATTCTCTCGTGTGACTAGATTTGCTCGGGAAACTACTTCCCAGATTTTCCGGGAAAGTCATAGTGATAGTTTTGGCACTAATGAGAGGAGGACCCATAACCTGACTCCCCACGATTACCCTAGCAACGTGGCATCCAATGATGTAGAAAAGGTTACTGAACAAATTCCTGTAACCAAAGATCCTTTGGAGGTAACCTTTTGTTTCATTCACTTCTTTGTATATGTTTGTATACATTAATTGTGATTTACATTAGGAAATTATTTTCGCATTAAATTTTTTCTCTTGGTATTTTATTTTTTGAAATGTTACTATACTTAATACAAGATTGCCAGGGTACAATTTGCTAGATTGCAGATATAAATGCTCAAGTATGAGTAAATTTTCTCATCTTCCTTTTTCTTTTGAACTATGACTGGGTGTCGATATTATGCTGTTTATGCACTTCAGCTGCATAATCTACTGGCTGGTGCTTTTGGTTTACATCTGTCACAAATATTATTTGCAATAGGGTACAAACTATAGCATAGCCTTTTGCTGTTTGGACCATTAAAGTATATGTAGAGTATTTTCCTGCCTGCGAGTTTAGTTGCTCTTTGGAGTGACAGTATATCGGATTGGATTATTCTTCAAACGAAATGTGGAGTGTCCCCGAAATATTGCCATATTATATATTGGATTCTGAAATTTGGTCTCAAGTAAAGTGGGACAAGAAAATGAACTTTATTCTCTTGGTTCAACACTCAAATTTCATTCTTTCAGTTTAAAAAATCTAAATTTCTATTCTAGGACTGTCTGATGCAGACATCTATCCTTGTTAAACAGAAAACACTGTATTGGAAAAGAAATGATGAAGCAGAAGCTGCCACCAATGTGGGAACTTTTGAGCTAATCAATTTTAAGGAGGTACTAAAAGGAGCCTTTAGGTTTTGTTTATCTTTCTGGGTTTGTTCCCATTCAAATTTTTTTTACCTTCTTCGAGTATGAGCATAAGGTAACAGTGTCTAGTTAGTTTCCTGCCATTGCTTTTCATAATCCTTCAACAAATATGCAGTCACTTGAATTCGACCTTTGTTATTTAAGCAGGCAAATGATGGCAGTAATTCATTCTTTTCTCTGCTTAGAAGTGATGTGTTACACATGAGAATGTGTCCTATTATCATTCTGATTTCTTCATATATATCAAGTTTGATGAGCAACAAAAGGATTTGGAAAGAGTAGGGATATACCAGAAAATGCTAATACGTTAGTGATTTATGTTTTGATACGCATGTTTCGAAACATGGTACACTTTCTTTTCAAAATAATGAATTTAGCAATCCAAAGAAATCCCAAATTTTTTCCCCAATAAATTTCCTGAGGTCTCCTTAAGAGGAAAGAAAATCAAATGTAAGAACTAAAATTTAAGGAGAGTGGTGTTTTGGCATAATGCTAATAGAAATGTGTTTTTACATGATTTATTTGAAAAAAATAAATTACGTTTTGTTAGATGTCTAATTGCTAAAAAAAACTCTCTAGGAGTACCTTAAATTTCAATAGTATAATCTAGTCAAGTCCACCCTTGTACCACATTCTCGCTCATGTTCCCGTTCCACATACCGGAACAATCTACATTCCAAGTAACATAGCTCACTAAATCTTGATATAAATTTAGGATTGTTAAGTAAAGACTGATTATAGAATTTAAATTTGCTCGTTAAAATTAATTGAACATTGGTCCAACTTTCTTTGGGCAAAACAGCTAGATTGGTATTATTATTTTTTTGTTAAGTACAGTTGGATGGTATTATTCCAGTGTACTTACCAAGAAAAGGAATATTAGTGCATCTCGAGCCTCCATAATATTATATGCTTGATGACTTTTGATTTGTATCTCTATTTATTAACCATTGGAAGAGGCATATCATTCAATTAGCCATATTTAAAAGGTTATCCAAACAGAAGCTGTTCTTGATGTGTAACTATTAATTTAGTTTTAGAGCTTGACCTCCAATAGTAACTGATATTTCTAATCTATCTGATTCGTTGCAATACTAGAAGGGAAATTAAAGGAGGAAAAGAATTGATAAGAAAGCGGACGGAGATTTTAATTATTTTGGTAGCGTGAAGAGAGTGGAGGGAAAATTAAGGAGAGCAGGTAAGCCTTTGCTAAGACAGGCACACTTGTGTCCCAACTGTGACTTGAATAAACTTTGCCTATGGGTTTGGCTGGGATATTAATATTAATCAAGCTACAGCTGGTGATGTCTATAAGTATTTTTGGATGAATATCAATCAACAAATATATTTATGATAAGAAAATGCAGCTTTAATGAGTTGTACCGTAGTGGTCTCGTAATAATAGCCCTTTTGGTCCCTAAATTGCCCCTTAGTAGCAGGAAATTTCTATTTGGGTGATGTATCTTACTTAGAAATGCGATTTCTCACCCAAGTAAAAAACTTGTAAGAAACTCGCTCCCGTTGAGGAAGAAACTTGCTTCTAACTGAGAAAGAACCTTTCAAACATGCAAATCTCAAAGAACAAAAGAAAAACAACTCAAACTTATTCAAGTATTTTCTATTTACATAATATTTATTTATACTTAACAAATACAAGTTTGTAGTGGAATCTAATATTTATTCATATTAATACACATATATTACAATTAAGAAAAAAATAATTGTTAGAGTATATTTGCATATTTAATATATAAAATATATAGACGAATCTGTAGACTCTCCCAACCTTAGAAACTTCTTCTATATGTCCTCGCTCTCCTGCCACCGCTTTGTGCAACTAAGAACTGCACAAGGGTTACAACTAATGGCCAAATGTTTAATCAAGAAGCCTCTGCTATATGTTTTTCATAACATCTTAAGCTTTGCATTCCTAGCCATTCATTAGCTCTGGTACTAGCTTAGGCATGATAGTTCCGCAACTAACCGCTAACTTACCTAAAATGAACCTAAATAGTGTTTTGAACAATAAGTGACCACACTAATTGCACCCATACGTGGAATAGTTTGCAAGGATTGGTTATTCGTGAGTTGCTAGCAATTTGGTCCACATTTGTTTTGGGTTGAACACTCCTTACTAAAGAATTATGACATTAGAGGGTATTAGTGATTTTCAGATAAGCATTTATTTGGAAGAACAATTTATATTTTAAAAAATGTAGGACATGATATGCTTGAGACATGTTAAATTTTTTTATTTTTATAAATTTATTATATGTTAAATATATGAATAAAATATTCAAAGATAATGAAGAAAACCAACATAATACTAATGAAAATTAAAAGACTGATTTATCAAAAAACAAAAAAAAGGCTGTATATTCCATAACTTAAACATCAAGATATCATTCATGTAATAATTGCAACTTGTGCACTCTAAATATGTTTTGAAAACATCTATAAGATGAATAAATCATGTGTATTTCAATGTTTTACAATTGTTTTTCTTGTGGAGTCGAGGGTTTATGGTGTTGTTGTTCGTTATCAGGGCTTTAGAGACTAGATGTGTGTTGCGTTGGGGCTCTGGAGATCGTTAGAAGCCAATCTGCAACTTCATATTTGCGATTAGATCTATGTTGTGTTGTTGATGGTTTAATATGAGCTCTATTCAATTCTAATGCTTTCTCATATTTTAAAATGACCCTGGAATTAGCTTTTAAAAATTAAAATAAGACTTCTCCATGTCTCAGGTGTGTCCAGTGAAAAAACAATTATTAAAAAGATCACTCCTATGGGGCCTATTTTGAAGTGTCAGTGCTTCATAAATTTTTTCAAACCTTGAAAATTTAATGTACTTGATTAACAAGTTATTGTTGTATGCTTAGAGAAAACTCAAATTTAAACATCAACTTGTAAGATATATGGATTTTAATGAAAAAGTAGAAGTGAATAGTTTCTGTCCGATAATCCTTGCAACTTATGATTGGTTATGGTTTCTAATTTTGACTAATTATTGGTGTTACTGCAGTGCCTGCTACCTGTTGCTTTAATTATATTTGACAACATCTTAGTATAGGAGAAAAGGAAAAGAAGGAAAGGTTCTACCACTTAATTGCTTGTCTTTTGGTACTTAATATAGACGCTTTCCTTGGCCACTTTTTCTTATGTAAATAAATTTTAAGAGATACGCTTTGCTATTGCTGACAATATGACATCAATACGCATTAATTTAAGATCTCAGATATCAGGGGCTGTTCTTTCATATACAACAGTATGCATGTCGTTTATTGTATATCTTGAGCATCTGTCAACTGGTGTTTTGAAGTTGATGATATGTATGTTGCATCATGCTACTTAATATAAATAGGTGTCCTTTGCAAGCCCCTCTACAGCCTAATAGAAATATACTTTATTCTAAATAACACAATATGTGAAGTTCATAGGCACCCATAATAGGAAAGTTATTCATAGTGATAGACAAGATTGAGTCTTATTATACACATCAACTTGCTACCATCCTTGCATGTTCATTGCCTTGACATGGTTGGTATACATGTTTTGTTGGTGTGTATCTATTTTTTTCTTAATCGTGGTGGTAGCCAGTGAGTTATTACTAACACTAATAAATGATATGAAGATGTTTTTGATCGATATGGAATTTATAAATATTTTGTTCATTTTGTTAGAATCTGATGTGCTGTTCTCATCTTTCTTTGTTGAATGCATAAAATCTTTCCTCAATTTGTTGCATCTCAATCTAATGATATTTTTTTTTATTATTGGCAGTATGATAAGTTATCACTAGTTTGGGGAAAACCACGCCAGCCTCCCTTGGGGTCTGAAGAGGTAAGGGCTGCTCTTTTCTGCGAAATTTCCATTGATGGGTTTGTCAATTCATCAAGTAATATGCAATATATTTGTCTTGTATAAGTGATCACACTTTCTGGCCATCTTTTGCTACTGCATGGCTCAGACCACAATTTTACATGCTTCCAACTCGTATGTGCGCAAGCCACTACTTATAAAAATGACAATAATATATGATTAGCATCTCATAGAAAGAGTCAAGATTTGCTCAAATGAACATGTGAGAAAAAAGGAATTGAGCATGGAATGCAATCTATTCTTGATTATATGTAATTTGACCTATTATGATGATTAAAAGTCAGAGCAATAGAAATCTAGAAAATCATTTTCTTTTATGCTGTTCTACATTGCTGAGTTGATGGCACAGCCCTTGACTAGCTAGAAACCAATTATTGGATTTGGAAGCCTAGGGTGAAGTCTGTGAGCCCGAAGACCTTTTGGTCTTATAAATGTCATTGGTAGATAATAATAATTACCACTGGTGTTTAGTTTAATTATATGATTATTAGGAAGATATTCTGATTTTGTTTCCAAATGATATTTGGGAGAGTTCCTATTTTTATTAAGGTTGATATGCTATGGTTTACAGTGTAATAATAAGCTTTTGATTAATGATATTGATAGTGTTTTACGCTGTAATCGTTTGTGCTTCACCTATCTCGTTCTACACCATGAGTACATAGTGTATTACCTTACAATTAATCTGTGTCAATGTGTGTGCTGTTATGTGCCTGACATGGATACTTCACACGTACAAAAGTCCATGTTATATACTCATGCACAATAATGTAACTGGTGCCTCTATGCATATTTGTATCGTGGATGACGTGAGTCCTGCACAAGTATCACCATTGTTGTCAAGTTGTGAATCAAATCATGGATCATCTTGCTAAAATATTGAATTGTGAATTGTAAGATTCATTTTATTAAATATGATATATACTTTTGTATATTTATAAACATATAGAAATATACACTTTTTGAAATAAAGTAAATTATTAATATGACTAAATCGTATATGTGCATATACGTATAAAAGCAAGTATATCAATATAACGAATTAATCTCTTCTATATATCTTGGTGGTTTGGCGAAAATGACGTCATTTCATTGGTGATTTTTTTACTAGCGATGGGGTGGATCACCTACCCATTCCCACCAAATTTCCCTTCTTTCCCCAACAAGGACCAGTCTGCATGCACATGTAGTTATACATTCCACTCTAATTTTTAGTTTGTCTGCAGTGGTTGACTTTCATTGATTCCGAAGGACGAATCATAGATTCAAAAGCTTTAAGAAAGAGAATATTTTATGGGGGAGTTGATCCCGGACTGCGGAAAGAGGTTTGTATATTGTAGTAGGAAGAAGTGGCATGCTGACCTTTTATTTTTCTACGTTGAATGTGCATTTTTGTTATGTGAAACTTTTTTTTGTTGATTACAGGTTTGGCCTTTCCTGTTGGGATATCATGCATATGATTCAACATCTGCAGAGAGGGAATATCTCATGTCAGTTAAAAAGTCCGAGTATGAGGCTATTAAAAACCAGTGGCAGGTTTGTTGTTAATTTTAGCTCAGTAGTCAACACGTTTATTCATCCTCCCATGTTTTGATGCTGGTACACGTTGTGGTCACTCCCATAGCAAACGCCCACATGCTTTTCATGCAAGCAGTTAACTAGTTTCAACTTGTGGCACTTCTGAGATTCTAGCTTTGCATTGGTCTTGAATTGCCTGTGTTAAATTGCTACATAGAAATTCAGTTTTATGATTATTATTGTGGTAGACTTGAATGGCTTTGCCTTTTTCTTGTCATATATGAGGTCAGGTTTGGTTAGTAAGCCAATACAGCTTCCTAACCAGACTTGACTAAAGGTTTAATTGAGGGAGTTGCTAGTTATCCAAATTGGAGCAAACTTCTCATCTGTTTGCGTAGCTCAAGCTTTTGTATTTTCAGGGTATACAGACTACTAGATTTGTAGGAATTCAGTGTAAGATATCAACAGGGGATATTTTGCTAGGTTTTAGGTTCTAGTTTGATTGTGTTCAAACCTGAGGGCAGACACTTTGTGCATCTGATGTTTATGTATATTTACATTGTGGTTTCTTTCAAATAAACTTTTTACGTGCTTAACATGCTTATATTTTTTTCTTCAGAGTATCTCCACAGAACAGGCAAAAAGATTTACAAAATTTAGGGAGAGGAAAGGCCTTATTGATAAAGATGTGGTATGCTAGAAAATGCCTCATTTTTTTCCTTTTGAACTAATTTTCTTTAGATGAATTGAAAAAGTTGTTTACATTCAAACTTTTAATTGTTCACTTTCTGTTTTCAAGGTAAGAACTGATAGATCACTTTCATTCTATGATGGGGATGACAATCCAAATGTGAATCTTTTACGAGACATACTGCTGACATACTCGTTTTACAACTTTGACCTTGGTTACTGTCAGGTACTTATTGTTGTCAATAATTATTATTTCAGATGGCAGTTATTTATTGATTTTAGATGATTAATAGCAGAATGGTTTTCCATGTATGAAATGTATCAAATATCCTTCTGCTTGCCATTTTTTTAAAGCCAGAATTACCAATGCTTGGAAACCATTGGATCAAAAAACAACGCCAAAATTTCCAGGACTGCACATTATTGCTTAAAGCAAAACCCATCTGAATTATGGCTTCTTTTTTTTTTATTTTAAAACTGCAATGAAGATGTAAATGGTAACATATATTTCCCTTTTTTTTTCCTTGCAGAATTAAATATGACCTGGTTGCCAGTTACCAAATTTCTTCAAGAATATAGCACAAAGTAGTGTGCAACCCTATAATTCAACATAGTTTGGGATGCAACGTTAAGTCACACTGCAGTAGATTTAGATGCATTGATAAAAAAAGTAGATATGACTTCAGAAGTTTAGTAAAAAAGACTTGCCTAAGTTGGAATACCTTCTAGGATTAGATGTGCACAGTTGATAATAACAGAAGAATTTTTTCTTCAATTGAACACTCAGCATAATGCATGAAATTTTCTTTTGAAAAGGCAATGTTGAGCTGCATTGTTCAAAGGCAACGACATGGTTTGAAATTCCCTTTTAAGTTTTTCTCGAGTGCTATATGTTCTGGATTACCTATCATCTTCTTGAATAATGCAGATGTTTGGCTTGTGGTGCTAATATGGTAGAATAATAAAGTATTTCGTTTCTCATTGCATGTGGCTTGATGTCTTGTCCATCATTTGATCTGTCCTAGTAGATTTAACTGATAATATCAAATAAATAATATGGATTGGTGCTATATGGACAGGGATAGTAGTTCTCATTGTGCTTGTTTATATGTATAGTGCATATTGCAAAGAATTCGCTGGATGCGTTTTTGTGTTCTGTGCTAGTTAAGAACCTTTTTTCCCCCCTCTTGTTGTCATGTAGGGCATGAGTGATCTTCTATCCCCAATATTATCCATAATGAGGGATGAGTCAGAATCATTTTGGTGTTTTGTTGCATTGATGGAACGACTTGGACCGAATTTTAATCGTGACCAAAATGGCATGCACACTCAACTTTTTGCATTATCAAAGGTTTGTTCCTCTCTCTCTCTCTCTCTGTGCATGTGTTCTTTTGTATATGTTAATTAAGAAGTTTAGTCAGCTGACATGTCTAACTGATATATTGTTCATACCTTTGTTAGCTAATTTGTTGCGTCAAATAACAGTACGTCTCATATATCTTGTGTTTTGTAAAACGCAGTTATAGTCAATGATACTATGAAGAAACTAAGAAAACAGAAAAAAAATTGGGTTTGCCCAAATTTATCTTTATCCATTTTCAATGATCAAAATTTTTATTTATGCAAACATGGTCAAAGTTTTTATTTACTTTATGTATAACAAGATTAGTAATAAGGTTTTATAAAGGTAAGAAAAGGTTTAATGGTTAGTTGGTGAAGGGAATTCATAAGAAATGCTAGATTCTAGAGTAATTGAGATGGGAAAAAAAAACGAGCGATCATATTTATAAAAGGGCACCTATAATACAAAGAAAGAGAATAAATGACGATGTCCATTTTTCTCCTCGCCTCTCTATCTCTCTAGCTTTGTTTTTCAGATCATATTGATTGGAGCATTTTTGTAACCAGGCCCAATAAGGAGTTCAGCCTTGCAGGAAGAAGCTGTGACACCTTTTATTTGGCGCAATCTTGATTTTTTTTTCTTTGGCTCAAACCCGATATTTCAACATATTTTTCTTTGTTATTTGCTTTATCAATCTGGGGATGGTTCGAGATATATTCCTGTGTGGAGTATAGCCATTTTATAACTTCGTTATAACTTTGAAATTTGGTTACCTTTTTTGAGGAAGCATAATCTGTTTGTGAATAGACAACTCAAAATCAAACAGGTATGGTGTAGTCACAAGATATTTCATGTTGTACTGCACATGCTTGCTATTATTTTTTGAGATGCTTTTTTATTTGTATTATCATGGGATTTATTTCTTTATTGATATAATTCTATGGCTCTTAACCATTTTTTTGTCAGTAAACAAGCAGCAGTGGTAGATATGCATTTCTAATCATAATTTTAAAGCTAGTTTTGTAGTTGTCTACTGTTAATATCTTTTTGTTATTTCTGAAGTATGTTGAGAAATTGGATCTGTCAGCTTTATCTCAACTAAAATAGTTCTTCTAGGTGTCTGCTCTATTTTCTCTGTAGTTTCATATTTCTAATGTATTTCATTGTTTCTGTGGCAGCTGGTCGAGTTGTTAGATAGTCCATTACACAATTATTTTACGCAGAATGATTGCTTGAATTATTTCTTTTGCTTCCGATGGGTTCTTATACAATTTAAAAGGCAAGTGACATGGTACCTTTTGCGTTCTGTTTTTTTTTATTTTATTTTCTTGAATCTCTGTTTCCTCGTATCAATTTAAGAACATGTTGCACTGGTTATTGTCTTGAGCATTTTGGGAAATTATTTTATATCCAGAGAAAAACTACCTACATTTAAAATGTCTGTTAGTTCTACTTTTCTCCAAGAAAGCTGATAAAGACAAAAAGGGCAGAAGGAACATGGATGGCATTTTTTGTGGAAATGTGGTCAGAAATATTTTGTCGACTAACTATGCAAAGATTGTATTAAAATTTACTCATAGACATTCCAGTATTTTTAACCAATGTTTTGGACCAAGATTGCCACCTGATGATCACGCTCACATAAGCCTTTCAGTGGTTAGCCTGTGCAGAATTTGAAGAATTTAACCATGATGATTCGAGTTTTCAAATATTTCTCTTCTCAATTTCTGCTCTCTTTGACATGTGCTAAAAATGAATAAAATCCTGTAATTTTGTCTTGTGTGCTCAGTAGTTCTACAGGCGCAGAAAAAAAATCACATTTTGGATCACTGAACACTCGCAATGGTCTGGGTCCCACAGTGGGCCCTTGTGAGTGATCCGTTTCGAAATTTGTTTCTGTGCAAGTATCTTTTTCCTTTGTGTGCTTCCATTTTTAACTAGAGCTTTATCTGATTTGGCTTTGTGTTCCTTAGGGAATTTGAATTTGAAACAACAATGCGGTTGTGGGAAGTATTGTGGACACATTATTTATCCGAGCACCTGCATCTATACGTCTGTGTTGCAATCCTGAAGCTGCATCGTAACAAGATAATGGGAGAGCGGATGGATTTCGACAATCTCTTGAAGTTTATAAATGAGCTGAGCGGTAACATTGACCTCAATTCGATCCTTAGGGATGCAGAGGCTTTATGCATATGTGCTGGAGAGAATGGAGCAGCTTGCATTCCTCCCGGAACTCCGCCTTCATTGCCCATTGAGGAAAGCTTATTATACCCTCAAGACGACGATGTATTGTAAACATGGTTTTTTATTTTTCAGGAAATTGTCATTACATGTTCACAAAATTAAGGAAGATCCTGTGGTATATGTTTTTAGCTTGATTGACATCTTTTTTTTTTTTGTTTTCTAATGAAAGATACTTTTATTTTGCAATCGAATGTTTCAATTGCATTATTTTGTGGTTATGCATGCTAGGGTACGGATTGTGTGTCTAAATGTTGCAGGAAACAAAATGGTGAGATTTGATTTCTAGTTTGTGTTTCAGATGATGGATTATGAGATACTATTGCCTATTGTTGTTGTGTTTTACTTTCAGCAGCTCTTTGCAGAGGAAAAGGGCAAGGACATGGTATGTATTTTACATGTATTGCAACTTTGTCTGGTCTTGAAGTACATATATTCTTCTGCAAAATTATATTAGTGTATGATCTGACTTCTCAGTGAGTCATTCCATTATGAATCACTTTTTTCTTCTGGTGGGGTTGGGGAATTGTAGAGCACTAAGCCAGTGAACTTTATTGCAATCACACTTGCACTTATGTCTGCGAATATTTCGTCGAGGGCCCGGTTCAATCCACGTCAGTACTAGATTTAGCTCACACACACAACTATTCCTTCCACCTGTCTTTGTAAGCATGTCACTTGGGAAATGCTTTTTTAGTATTTTTTTAAAACTATTTTTTAGGATAAAATTATTGCTAACAAAATAGATGCATTTGGTAAATGCTATTATATATATTTATTTATTTTTAGTTAAATATTTTGGATTTTTAAGAAACTTTTGTATATTTTATATTCTTCTAGAGTACTTGAAAGTAAAGTAAAAGATTTTAATAGAAATTTAAAGATTTTTAACTAAAGACAAAAAAAAAAAAAAAAAAGTTAGTCACTAAATCACATGTACGTTGTGTTTAGTTAGGAGATTTGTAAAAAAAAAAATTAAAAAAAAAAAAAAAAAGTTAGGAAAAAAAAAATGATTTTTTTAAAACATATCAAACCAATGGATCCCATTAATTTTTTTTTTAAAGATTTATTTGCCGGCGAATTAAGTTGAATCTAAACAAGGAAAATGATTCAGGCTTACATAGCGAAAGTCTACAAACAAATTTTATATAGTACACAATGCAATGTTCTTTTATCTTGAATGGTGCCTACTCTCCACTAAATATTGCACACCCCTCTAAATTTTTCACAAAAAAGTACACACAATATAGTATTGGTGTTCATCTTGGTAGAACGTGGGCTTCTCTAGAAACACCGCATTCTATTTACTTTTTTGTAAAAAATTTATAGTTAGTAAAAAAAATTTATTTCTAAATCTAGGATTGCTCACCGGGTAGAATTATTTGGTGTCCATGAGGCACCGCGTGTTCATGTCGTAAACCAATCAACAAATACCGTGGCCTCTCCTTGTTTTCCCAATTGCCACTACGAATTCCTGGACTCCACCTTTTTCACCAATTGAAGTTGATTTTGATCACCACCTAGCCATGCTTTTGGGGCATGGAATGACTTCTCCTTTAGCAAAGACCGGTTGCATGCCCTGCAACCTCCTGTGGGTACTCCTCTCCACCATTGCTTTGCAATGCTTCATACAAAGCAAGGGAATCCAAGATGGGCATGAAAGGCTCATCATCGGTGAAGAGTAGTGCATCATTAGCAGGGAACAATGGAGGTTCAGTGTCGAAGTTGAAGCTTCTTGCATGTTCGATCCAAGGGCTAACGGCGGTAATGTCCTCTCCTTTTCTACCTTGCGATCTTTCGTCGTCGTTTTCTGAGATTTTGCAGCGAGTGGGTTGGGAGGTAGGAAATTGTTGGAGTTTCTTCTTGTTCTTGGAGCAGATTGTGGTTGTTTTGGTTTGAGAGCTTCTCTTGTTCAAACGGGTATTCCAGTAATTCTTTACTTCGTTGTCCGTTCGGCCCGGGAGTCGACCAGCAATCAGTGACCAACTACATTAAGAAAAATTAAATAATTAGATAGGTTTAAAGTCTTTTTCGGTGAAGTTTTTTTAGGTTGAGTGAGATTAAAAGTACGGTAAGATAGAGTGATGGATTACTGATTCAGTGATTTTAGGTCATAAATAAATTACATTTGATTGTGCACTAGTGTGTTGGTATTAATTGAGTAAATCTATAAAATTATGTTACAATCCTCATTAATAACATATAACGTGACTGTTTGATGGGTAAAGTAAAGTGTTCTTTAATCATCTAATTTATTGGATTGGATTGGATTGGATTGTGAGTCTCATTTTCATGAGAATGTTAACTCCACCCTTGGAGGATTAGCAATCAAATGATTTTGATCAGGCTCATTGATTAGCAATCCAATTGGTCTCTCCCAACGCATAAACAAACTTGGCCTTAGGTTTTAGTCTTTCTATGGTGAGAGCTTATAGATCAATTAGCTAATGACATCTCGCTACACTCTCGTATAAGATGTTGGGTTCAAACCTCACCTTTGATGAAGTTGGATCGAAGAGCTTTATTATTCCTTATCTGTCCCGGTTGTCACCTATAGCGGGTCCGCCACTTGGCGGCTTGGCTACCTTTCTCCATATTTAAGAGTAGGCTAGATATAAATTGTATTCCAGATCCTCAATATAAAAATAAATAAATTGAAAGTCTGTAATCTTGACCACCCAACACAATGCATGTGTGGTATCATTTTTGTTTATTTGTTTTCTAGAATTTTTATTTATTTATTTATTTATTGATATTGGTTACTTATTTGCAAACTTTTGCCAAAAATTATTTTTAGAAAGGAAACTTATATTCTTACATAAAATTCATACAAAAAATTTGGCAAGAATGATGTGGCGTTGCTATTATTGTAAATAAATTCATTTTTAATGGTATTTTATTTTGAAACGAAAGGTCTACAATCAACGGAGTTAGAAAATTAAGTTAGATTGGGCATTTAATAATTATATTTAAAAAAAATTATGATCAACGTTAATACATTAATAATTTTATGAGCTAAATTAAGTGTAAAAAAATCAAATGTTCATTATTAATTGTAACAAATCAAAATTTTATAATAGAATGGAATAGTTCAGTGCGGAATGGTAATGTAAGTTTGTAATTTTAACATAAAAAATTATGGATCAAAATTTCTAATTTTAGAAAATAAAAACGCATAATTTACAACACAAATTATTATAAAATCTTTTAATTTTTATTTGCCAGAAAAATAGTAGAGATATAATATTCCTTATAAATGATGTGTTTTGAATAAAAATAATTAAACATTCAAACATTCTTAGAATACCATATGACGTTACCTATGTGATGTTCATAGCATGAGAAATCACAAGGGTTAGTTTGGGAAGTGGGTTGACTTTTTAGTTTTTTGACTTTTTTGGCTATTTTAGCCTAGGCTAAAAAGCTTGGTTTGGGAAGGACTTTTTGACTTTTTTGACTTTTTTTTGTGAGAGAATAGTGTAATGATTATCGGTTGGATGTGATATTTTGTTTGTTGTGATCAAAATAACCTATTTTGTCTTTTGTGGCTATTTTAGCCACAAACCATCTTCCCAAATCATCTTTAAATGGTCTGTCATTATCTCCTAACTACTTAAAAATGACGAGTTTATTATATACCATCCATAAGATTTTCTGGTACACTATTGATTTAGACTATTACATAGACAATACTACATCATACTTTCAAAATATCAAATAACTACATAATGCAAAAAAAACTTTAATCAAAGAGTAAGTTAAAGATAAAAAAAGAGAATACATTTTGCACGCAGAAACAAACGAATAAAAAAATCTTTGGCTCCGTTTCTTTCCACAATAAACTATATCTGAAAAATTATGTATAGTTTTTTTTTTATTTGTATGATATTACTCTTTTAGAAAACGCTTTTTAACTGTTATTGTATTTTCAGAAACTGTTTCATACAAAACAAAACAAAAAAAAAAAAAATGAAAGGAAAACTTTGAAAATAATACCTAACAAATCTTCCACTAAAAAAATAAAATAAAAAATGGAAGACACAGAAAACAAAATAAAGAAAGAAAGAATGAAAGAAAAAGAAGTAGAGGGTGGAAAATGAGTGAGCGACCAACCGGTTGCCGAGAAGCTTATGCAATCTGATGATGAGGTCTTTCTCGTCATCTGACATTCTTCCACGCTTTATGTTTGGTCTTAGATAATTTTTCCATCTCATCCTGCAGCTCTTACCCCCTCTCATCAAACCTAATATGCACCACAGAGAGAGAGAGAGAGAGAGTGAGTGATTGTCACACATTTAGAATCAACTTCAATTCTTAAAAATTATTTTTCAAGTATATGTAGAGCTAATTATTTACCTGATTTTTCAGAAACATTAGCCCAGTTACCTTCTCCGTGAGCTTCTACATAATTTTTCAATATGATATCCTCTTCTGGTTTCCACAAGCCCTTCTTTATACTTGACTTCCCTTCTTTCATCTCCATTACTAGTATTTAATTTTCTCTCTCTCTCTCTCTCTCTCTCTCTCTCTCTCTCTCTCTCTCTCATACACACACAGGTGTGAGTGAGTAGTCAAAGTAGAAGTTGAATAAGATTATATAAAGAAAAGTGGGTGTGGAGTATGGAGTATGGAATGTGGAATGTGATGTGAATGTGGTTAAAAGCACAGTTAAGAGGCAGTCTTGCATGGATTTCACACACCATGGTCGATAGTGGTAGTGATAATGAATGGATGGTGCTCAAGGATTAGACTTGAGAGGGACCCTGGCTTTGTTTTTTCACTTTAAGCTTTCCTTTTTCCCCCATGACATTTTCTTTTATCTTGAAAGAAAAATTATTGCTCCACCTGTGGGGTGAGGGAAGAAAGATCACTCATATAACTTTAGGGCACACTCAAGACTACTTTTGGATCGAGAAAAGATTCAAATACAACTTTATTCAAAGATTCAAGTAAAACTAATGGAAAATAATAGTATTTTAGTTATTTTCAATCTAAACCATTTACCTATTTTAGTTATTAAATGCAGTGCATATGTATAAAATATCTTAAATATAATTTTTTTATTGAATTTAATGATTAAAATAATCATTTTTTCATTGACCTTACCTAACGGAAATAGACAAATGATTTAGATTAAAAATAAATAAAAATGTAAGGTTTAAATTAACAAAATTAAAAAGTCAAGTTTATTTTGTTACAATGATCAAAATTTAGATTTTTTTCTGTTGTGATTTTCCCTATTAATAATTAATGAGACTAAATGATTGACTTAGGTGGTATTTGATAAAATTGAAAACTGAAAATTAAAAATTTAGCATTGAAAGCTGAATACTGAATTTTCTAAGTTGAAAAGTTATTTAACAAAAATTTAAGTATTGAACTATAGCAAGTTATTTAATATATATAACATTAAATTTAAAAATTATTAATTTTAATTTTTATTTTAATTTTATATTATGATATAAGTTGGTGGTGGTGAAAGCAACAATAATGCCTATGACACCACAATGATGGTGGAGATAGAGATATAGTGGTTGCGGTGATGATGGAGAGATAATGTAATGATAGTTGTTATTGTGGTGGTAATTATGACAACAATGGCAATGGTTGTGAAAGGGAAGGATTATAGTAGTTGTGGTGATGATGGTGGAAATGGTAAAAGTGATTGTGATTATGTTAATAAAATTAGGAGTTTTCTTAAGTGTGCAAGTGCACACCATGTGCCACTTACACAAAAAGTGTAAGTGTAAGGTGTAAGTATAAGTATAAGGTGTAAGTGTAAGGTGTAAATGTAAGGTGTAAGGTGTAAGTGGGTTGCACATGGTGTGCAACCTCAAAAAAGGTGTAAGTGTAAGGTTTAATTTTTTACAAAAGGTGTAAGTGTAAGGTGTAAGTGTAAGGTATAAGGTGTAAGGTGTAAGTTGCACACCATAACCAAACCCATAAAATTATGGTGATTCTTATGATAATAATGACAATAGTCAATTGTGTGGTTATAACGGTATATGTTAATGCTTATGTATAAGTATTATAAATTTAGTCAAAATCTAATAAATTTTCTATTTTTAAAGTTTTCTTAATTTTTAGTTTATATTTTAAGAGTCATTTATTTTTTTAAGTGATATCATTTATGATTATCAAACGGATTTAATTAAGTTTCACTTAATACATTCAGTTTTAAATGATAAGTTAGTTTATCAAGTACCACCTTAGTAGATGAGAATTTTTTATAGGTTTATGATGCTCGAACACACAACAATTATTTTTCTTCTTCTCCTATCAATCTAAGAAGTACAAACACTTCAAACAAGATGATGTGTTTGTGTGTCATTAGACACTTCTTTACATGTTCGACACTCGTTCAAATGTATTTTATTTTTTAATAACTTTTAAAAAATATAATGAATAAGTATATTATAGTATTTTTTTCTTTAGTAATTAGACTATGTTTGATTAGTACACTTAACCAAACGATAGGAAAAACACTTAACCAAACGACAAGAAAGATACGAGGTAGTTGGATTATATTAATCATATTGGGTTGTTTGGAGATGATCTAAATAAGTATAGTTATTTGATAAGTACATTTATTTAAGTCATATATATATATATATCACCTCTCTACTTTTTTGTAAATTTTTTTATAAAAAATTAAAAAATACACTAAATTACTAAACCACAAACGATTAAAAATAAAGCAAATGACTATAATTTGATAACATTGTAATTTAGCATCTTACATAATACTTGCATTAAATATTGCCATCTTTGTATTATCCTTAAATATGTGTGTGTGTCATCTTTGTATTATCCTTAAATATGTGTGTGTGGGTGTGAGTGTGAGTGTGAGTGTGAGTGTGAGAGCGAGAGAGAGAGAATGAATAGATTGATAACATTTGAGCATCAACTAATGAGTATCACTCTTTTACTGAAAAAATTATCAACAATAATATTCTGTTGGCTCTGAAAGTCATTGATGGTAACAACAGAAATATACGCAAACCAATTTTGATCATTACCCCTCACTAAATTTTTTTTCTCTCTCTAAAAATTTCTCTCTCTAAACCTCCACTCTGGGTCTCGCTGAAATTCGTGAGGTCAAGGGGTTGGTTGTATAGATACGAGTAGCAGTAGTAGGAGTAATTTGTACTTTCTGAATCTCTCTCGATGCATGTCATCTTCCTGTACCTTTAATTTTATGCTATTAATGAAATTTTTCTTTACTGCTCAAAAAAAAAAAATTTCTGTTGGCTCCATCACATACGTGATTTATGTCACATAAATTACATCAAAGAATATCTAAAATGTGGACTTGTTTATTTATTTCTTGCATTAGGTAAGATGTTTGCGTAAGTTAAATTAACATAATTGGACGTTTGCCGTTGCTATATAAATTCAAAATTTTAAACTAAACATTTCTCTTGAAATTTCGAAGTATAATTACTTTATTTGTTTTTGAGAGTATTCTAAAGATGAAATTTTTTGTTTTCTTAATTATTTCGAGTTAAGATGATGTGAAAGATTTGTCTTTATAAATACAATGTGTTTCAAGTTGTGAACTGAGAGGAAAAGATTGTCATGATTCGAGTTAAAACACAACATTGAAATTATATGTTATGCATGTAAACAATGTTTGTTTTCTTCATTTTGCAAGTCTAAAGACTTACTATTGCTGTATTGTTTTCTTCTTCTTCTTATTATTATTATTATTATTTTTTTGCGTTGGCATTCCAAGTATCTTTTTGAAGATAAGTTATTTGGTGGTCCTGAGTATAGCTACGTGATTGCCTTAGGTGAATTGTACGGAAAAGAAATAAATTTTCTCGTATAATTCTGTTGATCAAGTCTGCGCTTCTTCGTACGTCGTCGCTTTACTCCCTGAAAACACAAACGTGAGCTAGCCGGCGGGTGTGTGCCGGATACCTCTCCAATGCCTAAGTCAGCGAAATAAACAAATAGACAAAAGCCCTGTGTATTCGAGAATCAAAGCTGTGTTACCTCTCCATAGGTGGTTGTGAGCTTTTATAGGTTCCGCGTGGCACAATCCTAGTTGGACTTTTATTCCTCCATGTAGAGTCCTCCTAGGAGTCATACTCCTAAAAGATAATGCTTATCTTTTAACACCCCCTCACTACTTAAACCAAGTGAGATGACTTTACCATGGTCGGATTCCAATATGACCAAGGTAAGCATAGCCATGCTAAGCCACAGAGTAGACCAAACTATGCCTAATTTGGTTCTTCCTTTCACTGCTCTTACCTCGGTTTCCCTTGTACAAACCATGTTGTGCTTAGATCGAGCTAACTAATAGCAAGGTTCTAACCGAGCTAACAATAAGACACCACGACCGGGCTGACTCTGAGCGTGGCGACCGAGCTAACTGCAAAGCTCTCTTGGACCAGACTAACTTGAAGGCCATCTTGGACCGGGCTAACTCCAAGGCTATCTTTGGCCGGGCTAACTCCAAGGGCTTTATACTCAGCCCTTCTTACCGTGGCCCACAACGGCCCACTACTTAGCTCGGCCCAATTTAGATATAAATTTCCCTCTCAATTGCCCCTTAATTCCATCTGCGCAGCATGATAAGGATTACCTGTTTGCTAGCTGAGCTAAAAATCTTTTAGCATTCTAACCGAGCTAAAAACTCTAGTTTTCCACCCGAAATATAATGAGCTCTGTCTGTCCGGTCAAAACGTCTCTTCAATCGCTGCAACTGAATCGATTTCCATTCCATGGACACGTGGCAAACTCTCATTGGCCACATGTAGCTGTCACGCCGTCTTCGTACCTCGTGTTTTTTGAACAGTCCAGCCATTTCTCTCTCTCTTTCCACAAAACCAAACCCTTTGTTTTTGAATCATTTCACTTGCACTATTCACCTTCTTTTTACTCTCTTCTCTAAGCTTTCTCTTTTCTCAAACACAGTGCCTGCAAAACTTGCGTTCTTGCTACCATCGCTCCCTGCTTCAGTTCCTCCATCTTGAACTGGTAAGTGGTTCGAATCTGTTTCCTTTTCATTTATTTTGCACTGTTTTTGCAATACATAGTTTTGTATTCACATGTTTTTCAAAATACATACCATGTTAGCTTCCGCTTTTCTGGGAAGCACAAAGTAATAGAACCACTCGTATGTCACGAATAACCTGAAAAACACTACTTTTGATCCAAAATCACACTCCAACCGAGCTAGGATACTGTTTGTATTAGGTACGACCCTGGCCGAACTAAAAAACTGGCCTAAAACTTCACACCCTACTCGTAGTTTCAATAGGTCTCAAATACATTCTGATTCATTCAGCCGAGCTATCAGACCGTACTAATGCTTGCACAATACCGCGCTTGAATGCCTTAACCACGACCGAACTACAGCTTGGGGCTAAACCAGCCCTCTTTTAGTTTGGACCGAACTAAGAACGCTGCCTCTAGAAGCTCAGCCAGGCTAAAAAACCCTTGTTCAAACCGAGCTAAGATTCGTAGCATTTCACCTAACCGTGCTAGGTCTTCAATTATCTTGCCTTTGTTTCTTTTTAACACGGTCCACTTGATCTGTGCTTAACACCTTTGTTTTTCACTTTACAGACTTAGGCTGTCCAGGCACTCCCGTGAGCACTCAACCGAGCTACTCAGCACCATTCTTCGACCGAGCTAACACTCGAGTTTAATTTATTCATAACTTAAACCATAA